ACTCTACTGGTCAGCTGCCTGATACTCAAATTTGGGGTCCTACCTCAAATAGTATATTCTCTGTTAAGTGTGCTTATCAATTACAGTTCAAAGGTCCAGATTGGCCTGACTCGAAATGGAATTTCTTGTGGGCTTTGAAGATACCCTCCAAGATACATTATTTTTTCTGGCTCGTTGCTCAAGGGAAAATCCTTTCTAATGAGCAGCGTGGTAGGAGGCATCTAACGGATGATCCATCATGTGGGAGCTGTGGTTGGCCCATTGAATCTGTCATCCACATCCTAAGAGATTGTCCTAAGGCACGTACTGTATGGGCTACTGTCCTTCCCTCTAGCCGTGTTTCACCTTTTTGGCAGATGGACTTTCTGGCCTGGTTGAGTATGAACCTGTTGTCAAAGCAAAAATGGTGTAGTGAGGCACCATGGTACATGGTTTTTATGTTTACTTGCTGGTTTATCTGGAAGTGGCGAAACCAAAGAGTTCTTGGTGCCGAGTTAGAGATGCCTTCTAACCCAAAGCATGTCATCTTCCTTGCTGTTTATGAATGGTACAGCTCTGTCCAAAGTGCAATTAAAACCCAGATTATGATAGCTTGGAACCCTCCTGAGACTGGGCAATTTAAGCTTAATGTGGATGGGACTCGAAAAACTGCCTCTGGTGCGATTGGGGCTGGAGGTCTGATCAGGGACTCTTCCGGGGACTGGATCAGATGATTTGCTGTTAATCTTGGGAAAGGGCAGATCTTGGATGCTGAAATTTGGCGTTTGTTCTTTGGGTTAAGGCTTGCTGTGAGCATGAATATCAACAACCTCCTCATCGAGATGGATTCCGCCAATGCCATCAATTTAATTCAGAAGCCCACTCTCCTTGACTTTCATCCTCTTAATGCCTTAGTTAGGAGCTGTAGCAAACTCATGAAGCTGATTGGAAGTTGCTCCATCCACCATATATACAGAGAAAAAAATTATGCTGCAGATGCTCTAGCTAACTGGAGTTACAATTTAGCCATGGGAGACTGCATTCTTGATGAGTCTCCTAGCTGGCTGGGAAATATTCTTCTTGATGACGATTTGGGGATCCTAGACCCCGCATAATTCATGTTACTTAGTGTGTTTGCTGTCTAGGGGACGCCCCCCTTCTTCACCCAAAAAAAAATCCAAATATATATATGCATTAAAGTAAAAGGCATCCTCAAGAAACTTAAAGGAAAAAAAGTTGCCATTAAGAAATATTTGAGTACAATAAAAAGGGCATTCCCCCAGGTCAAACAAGCCAGCATCCAATTCGACACCAGAAAACACCATTTCCTCTGTCCACCATATCAGGCAGAACAAAAACAAAAGCATAACCTCCAACACACTTGCACAAAATCAACAACAAACCCATTTTCCCAATCTGGCGAACAAACATGCCCATAACATCAATTCCTTCCTTCCATCATCCATACCAATCAAAAAATAAAACCACAACCCACCATTATATTCAGATTCAAAGCACCCAACTTTGCCAAACCCAAACAAACCTTAACCCTCCACAGCACTTCCAACAGGCACATGAATGTCCTTATAGAGGCAAACATAAGGCGCATCACACCCAATGTACTTGCCAGTCCACCTCCCCTCCTCAATATAACTAGCATCCCAAATAGAAGCATACAAATACATAGGTTTGTGAGGAAAAGCCTCACCCTTTTTACTCTCTACCCTCCTCACCAATTTCCCATCAACCAACCACTCAATCAAATCCTGACCCCATTTGATCATATACAAATGAAATTCATCAGAACAATCAAAACCCAGATCATGAAACTCCTCTTTGTTACCTGTGCCGCCAGTGTAATAGTTAGTCTGCACAATTGTCCTGTCCTTGCCCAAAAACTCGAAGTCAATCTCGTCCTGTGACTTGTCACCTTCCAGGGACGAGAGGTAGATGTTGAAGTTGAGGCCGCTGGTGTTGCCACGTGGGCACTGAATGAGGGAGCTGAAGGTGCCGTAGAGGAACCTTGTGGTGGTGCGCCACCGTGCGCCGCCGCGGTGGTCGTAGGTGAGGGTGATGGTGTTGGCGTCTGGGCAGTGTGTGCAGGCCTCCGGGGTGTAGTCTATGGCGATTTGCTTGAGGGGTTGGGTTTGGTGGTGGGTTGGGGTCTCTGAGTGTAGCGCTGGGTCTGCCATTGAAGATGCGAATAGAGAATGAGAGAGCTTGAGAGTGATGACTATGGCGGGAGCGTTAGATCTTAATATATGTGAGTTTTTGTGTCCATTTTTTTCTGTTATTTATTTATTTATTTTAATATGCAGAAAGATTTACAAAACTATTTTTGTTAAGGATATATTTATCATTATTTCCAGCCAAAGAGAAAATAGAAAACTATTGAAATTATGATTATGATCCTGCAATTTCACCAAGAGTGGACAAAATAACTAGTTTACCAAGTCCTTGACCCAAAAAAAACAAAAACAAAAACTATTTTACCAACTGTTGCGATTTAAGGATAATGTCTTATTTTTTTTTTGTTTTTTTTTTGTTTTTATTTATACAAGTGATATTGGAAGAAAGGAAAATCAAACATAGAACATCAGATACATAGCTATAAGTCTCTTGCTTGTCAAAATTTTCAATAGAATTAGAATGCAAGTAGCATATGTAAGGCTAAGATGGACTTTCTAGAAGCGTAAAACACCTCCCACACTGCCTTCACATGCTAATTTTGTCGAATTTTTTATAAAAAGAATTAAGTAATTGCGCTTAAATTGCAATAGATAATAAAAAGAATTAAGTTAAATCACGACAATTAAAACTACATAGAATAAAATGGAATATCGCCAAAAGCTACATAGACCAAACTTATAGTTTGATCCCTTTTTTAATAACTTAGGCCCTATTTGGTCTCCTACTCAATAAAGTAAATTCTAAAATTATGATTCTTTTTTTAAAATATGAGTTTTCAAATAGTGATTTTAAGATTTAAAAACTTATTTGAGGTATTGAACTCCAAACTATTTTTAAGATCTAAAAAAATTGAAATTAACAAAGAAAAAGTAGAGAGAGAGAGAGAGAGAGAGAGAGAGAGAGTGGAGAGAGAGAGGAGAGAGAGAAAAAATATTATCCAACCGATGTGTCAAAAGTGCCACATAAACATTTAACGGCTAAAAATAACATCTCACATCACTCCAACCGATGTGTCAAAGTTGATGTGGAATGAAGACTAGAGGTTGAGATGTTATTTTTGACATCCCAAAAGAAAGATGTCAAATGAATATTTTATTATTTTTTCTTTTCTTTTTCTTTTTAATTAAAAATAAACCAACACTAAAATATAATAAAATAATAATTTAATTTGACATATCAGGTGGAGTGTAAAGTCGTGTAAGAGCATCTCCAAGGGAGATGTCAAATACCAAACATCAAATTTAAATTTGATGGCTGATGTGGCAATTTGACATTTTACACAGCTTTACACTCCACCCGATATGTTAAATTAAATTATTATTTTATTACATTTTAGTGTTGATTTATTTTTAATTAAAAAGAAAAAATAATAAAATATTCATTTGACATCTTGCTTTTGGGATGTCAAAAATAACATCTCAATCTTCAGCCTTCATTCCACATCAGCTTTGACACATCGGTTGGAGTGTGTGAGATGTTATTTCTAGCTGTTAAATGTCTATGTGGCACTTTTGACATATCGGTTGGAGATGCTCTAAGATGTCAAATTGCCACATCAGCCATCAAATTTAAATTTGATGTTTGGTATTTGACATCTCCCTCAAAGATGCTCAAAACCTCACTTTTTGGTTTTTAATAATGGGGTGATTTTTGAGTTTTTCTTGAGTTTGAGTTTTTAAAAATGGGCCTACCAAACTGGTTTTTGTGGTTTTAAACTTTAAATATGTTTTTGAGTTTATAAAATTAGATCCAATTAGGATACCAAACAACCCTTAACTTCTTAAAAAGTAAACACCAAATTTTATTATAAAGAGAATCTTACTTCTTTTTTTGAAAGTAGACATTATTACTTTCACGTTAATACGATTTACATATGTGTTGAACTGTAATTTACAAAAAGGATGAATATCTCCTTTCAAATAGTAACATATGGTCAACACCCTTTTGCAAGACTGCAACTACCCAAGGCCATCCATTTAATGGGAAACGACCATCCATTCTAAATATCTTGAGAAAATAAATGCAAATTGTGATTTACAGACAGAAAATGTTACGGAAACCATCTATAGAGACCAACTTGTGTACCATCTCTCTAATAGGAGAAATTCTCATGTTACGGGGATATCACTTTTTGTTATCCTCGGCCAATAAAATAATGGCACATAGGATAACATTTTCACGTGTTATTGTTTTATTGATCGGGAATAGCAAAATAGTGCTACCTTAATTACATGTAAGTTTTTTTTTGCTCTAATAAAGTCTAATAGAGGTGGGATCCATTATATTGGTGGGCTCTACCTCTATTAGAGAGTTAATACACACGTTAGTCTCCCTAGCAATAGACACGTGTCAAATGTTGAAAATAATGATGAAGGTACACATTGGGATAAAGTTGTGAGCAAAAATACTCCCCAAAAAAGATGAATATCTCCTTCCAACTAGTAACATCCAATCAACACCCTTTTGCAAGACTGCAACAACCCCGGGCCATCCATTCAACGGGAAACGACCATCCATTCTAAATATTTTGAAAGAAATAAATACAAATCGTGATGTACAGAAATAATGAAGATCTCTTTCCAACTAACTAGTAACATCCGGTCAACACCTTTCAACCCACTCAAGAACGAAATATTTAGTGAGAATTGTCGGGATCAACCCACTCACGTCAAAAATACAAGGAAAAAGGGCAAAAATAAAACAAAAACAAAACTCTACCAACTTCAAATCATACAAGGGTAAAATGGGAATTTTGAAAATTTTGACCTAGGGTGTAGTGAGCAAATAGTGAATATTCTAATAATTGTTCCGTTTTATTATTACTCTTTTCTTTCGGCCTAATTTGCTAAAAACTAATAGGGCTTCACATCATACGTCGCCGTTCGACTGACTTTGCCTCTGTTTACGCCTACTGTCCGAATTGTGCAGGAGCTCCCCAAAGCGATTCCAGAGCCTTTCGTCCAATTATTCCTAGGGTTTCTCTGAGCTCTCTCTCCGAAAGACTCTAAGGTATGAAAGCTCGGATCTTTTTCGTCAAATATGTTCAGCAGATCTAGCTTTTTTCCATTTTTGAACCCTTATTATTATTACTTGATTGTGCCTGTTTGCTTTAGGATGTAACTATTATGATCCCCACTTTGACTTCTTGTACTAACTCTTTTTGTGTAATTAAGCTTCATAATCATACGCCTACTTGATCAAGTCAAAAATATATTCCTTTCTGAAATTTCCCATTGTGTTTTTTCGGTGTGGTGCATTTGCTTGTGTTTTTGTGTTGCGTAAGAGTTGGACAGCTCACGAAGTGTTTGTATAAATGCCACTGACACAAGGTATTTACCTAATTGTCCTGTTATTGCATCTGGAAGGGCTTGAAAACTTTGAAGCTTGAAGAAATGAGGCCAATATTTTGCGGCAACTTGGATTTTGATGCACGGCAAGGGGATGTTGAGCGGCTTTTCAGGAGATATGGGAAAGTTGAGAGGGTGGATGTTAAGTCTGGTAAATAAGTTTTCTGATTAAATAACTTATTTTCTGCTGTGTTTTCATCATGGTCTGTTTTAGTTCTCGATCAAAAGTACTAGTTTCGTTGGCTGTTGGTAGCATACTTGTAGTACTGGGTTGTTTGGTTTACTTCGAATTTTATGTTGTGTTTGTTGGGTATGCATTTGGTGGCCAAGATAAAGGCCTTAAAGCTTTTTCAAGCTGTTGTTTTTTGTGGTGAACTCTGAAGTGGGGCATGGCTGAATCTTCCTACTGGTATATGGTCTGTATGAATTAGTGGAGATTGAGGTTTGGGCACCATATATTTATCTCTATGAGATGATACAGATTCGGGTAGATAAATAGAATACATATGGTTTAACAGCAATGGAGTAGTTGAACAGTGGAATTCTGTCATCATTCAGATGTGTCAGCTGCTAACAAGGATTTTCTGCTGTGTGTCTGAAAAACTATTCCGACCTTATTTGTGAATAACAAGAGTTTCCTCTTGTATCGAGACAGTGGGGTTCCTGGATATGTTTTAGAAAGGAAAATATGGTGTACAACCTGAAAAAGGTTCATTTCAAGATTTGGCTCATTGACCCTTTTTGTATATAAGCGAACACGTCCAGAAATATGAAGTCTGGTTGTATTCCTCGGCCTTTTTTCTATTTTTCTTCACAACATATTGACATGTAGAAATTCCCTTCCTCCTGTAAATTGAAAATCAATGAGAGATATGTCTTTAAGGAGAACTGTAGGGGTGGGAATGCAGTGGACAGTACATATCCTTCATTTTAAGAAACATGAGCTCTTTCTCTGGGCTGTTAGATTGGAGTAAATTCAATAGAGGGCATGTTTACTAAGAAAATTAGCTGTTATTCAAAAGGGTCAATATGTTATTCCTTAACTTATTATTTAGATGGGTGTACACACTATTTTCCCTTCAGAGAAGCAGGTTACTTTTTTATTGCAGTGTAAACCCGCATACTCAAGAATTTCTTTGGCGCAGGGTTTACTTGGAATGTCCATGCTCTTCTTGGATGGGTCTGCTTATCTGCATTTCTTTTGTAGCATGTGCCCAAGGTTCACTTATTGTATTTTTCCAGAAGAATTAAACTGATCTGCCCTAGTCCTGCCATCCTACTTTACCTCAGACACCATTGCTTTTTCATTCCTCATGAATTTTGCTCCGTGTTCAATTTCCGACATGTTCCAACATAGATTCCATGATGATATCGCAGCCACTGGCAGGTTTTGTGTTACTCTCTAGCAGATGATTTTGTATGCACATAATTTTATTAGTGTTTGAGAAGTCAACATTTCCTCATAGATTCCATGGTGATTCTTTTCCTATATTAAAAAAAAAACATGTATGCCTAATAAACTTGCATAGAAGATTGTTTTGGTGACTTTGTTTTACGTGCTTTGGTTACTTACCAAGCTGGTTTTAATAAGACTTATTCAATCTATATTGGTTAAATAGGATTTGCTTTTGTCTATATGGATGATGAACGAGATGCTGAGTATGCAATTCGGAGACTTGACAGGACAGAATTTGGTAGGAAGGGACGCCGACTACGTATTGAGTGGACCAAGGTAAAAACAAAATGATTTATCACTTTATGGTCTGTTTCATAGCATAGTTGCTGAGCATTATTTTCATCACACAGAGCACGATCCTAAACATACAAGTATAATACTAGATCCCGACTTTTCTGTCTGGCATGCAAATTTTTGCTTAATCTATTCCTTTACATAATTTTAATATTGTGAGTGTGTTGGTCAAAACCATATTCCCTATACCTCCTTGCTATATTTTCTGAACTTATGCATGCAAAGGGTACATATGTTTGTAACTGCTTCATGTTGCTCGACTCCTCTCATTTATATAAGTTGGTATTACACAAGATCAAATGGATAAACAAAGTCACAGGATTTACTTGATTATTTTGTCGGAATTATGCACTCATTTAATCACATTTTATTCTGTATTGAAGCATGAAAGAGGGATTAGGAAACCTGTTGATTCAAAAAGACCTTCAGCGAACACGAAGCCCTCGAAAACCTTGTTTGTTATCAATTTTGATCCAATCCATACCAGGACAAGGGATCTGGAGAGGCACTTTGATCCATACGGCAAAATAGTGAACATAAGGATTAGAAGGAATTTTGCATTCATTCAATATGAATCACAGGAAGATGCTACCAAAGCATTGGAAGCAACAAATTCAAGGTTTTATTTTCTTCGATAACTTCTAGAATGATGTTTGCTTGATTTACAAATTCCAAGGTTTTTGCCTTTGGACAACCATATCAGCATATGATTGTTTGGAAGTGACTTCAAAGGGAGAATGGCTCTAACTTCTGAAGGAAATTCAATTTTGATTGAGCGAAAAGCCATGCCATTTGTAGGCATTTCATTGCAGCAGCTTAGTGTAAACATTATTTACAACAAATTTTTACCAAAATAAGCTGGTATATGTGCTTGCAAAGAAAATGAAATGAGCTTTTTGGGATTGTCGGAAAAAAGTCTTATAAATTTGTTCTTGAGCTTTAACTTTTACCCGTTTGAATTAACATTTTAAAAGAAGAGACAACTACTTTTAGATAATATTCTCAATGGTTTTATTTAGCAAAAGATACGCTGTATGAATCCATCTCAACAATTTGCAACTTGCTTCATATTAACTTTAATTAACTTCTTTTTGAGGTACAGCAAGTTCATGGATAGGGTTATTTCCGTGGAATATGCTGTTCGTGATGATGATGATAGAAGAAATGGACACAGTCCTGATAGAAGGGGCCGTGACATGTCTCCTGATAGAAGAAGCAATGATCGTGGGCGATCTCCAAGTCCATACCGCAGAGATAGGGCTAGCCCTGATTATGGCCATGGCTCCCGTATAAGTTCTAGATCTGATCCAAGAAGAAGTCCTGATTATGAGAGAGCTGAAAGCCCAATCAATGACAGATCCCGTCCTAGTTCTAGACCTGAACCAAGGAGGAGTCCCAGTTATGAGAGGGCTGCTAGCCCAGTCAATGATAGATCCCGTCCAAGTTCTAGACGTGAACCAAGAAGAAGTCCCAGTTATGAGAGAGCTGCAAGCCCAGTCAATGATAGATCCCGTCCAAGTTCTAAACCTGAACCAAGAAGAAGTCTCAGTTAT